AAAATGTGCAACAATGAATGAATGAATGAATGAAAACCCAACTTTCATCTAAACTTTTGCTAAAATCACTATTAAAATAAAAAAATTAAAAAGAAAGAAACTTTGAACTTGGCCTTGTTGGTAAGGAATTGCCCTGCCAGTGCAAAGGTATGCAGATTGAATCCACCAGCCGCTCCGCTGAAGAAAGATGGGCAATCTTTTCCTGTGTAGTTTGCTGCCTCTGAAATCCCACTGGAAAGCCTGACTGAACAGTTCATAACACCACCATGACCATCAAGCCTCCTAAATGGTAAAACAATACATTTCTGTTTGTTAAAGACAATCTCTGCCATAACACAACAGCTGGCGGTTATAGCTGCAATAGATAACTGGAAGGGGCACCGTTAGTTTTTCTGGTCTCATGGCAGAAGAGGTAGCTGTGAAAGCAAATAGGTGAGGTACCCAGCACCCATTCTCAGGGAGAGTCCCAGGCACGGGGATGGATGGGCTCAAATGTGTGTGTGTGTGTGTGTGTGTGTGTGTGTGTGTGTGTGTGTGTGTGATGTTGCTGATGTTCAACAGCCAGCGCCAACAGAGAGAAGACTGGTGACCGCGTGAGGTCAGGGATGGCAGTCATGGGCAGTAGGCAGTCTTTCTCACAGCTGGATGTGGTTTCATGACCCACTTCGACTAATTTAGCCAACCCTGTCTTGAAGACTTCCTTTGATATCACTGACAATGCTGTGGTGAACACCCCGCTGAGCTCCCCTTTGCTCCTCTGTGAGCTCCCTGCAGCTTCTGGGCAGTGAAGCTACATTTGAGAGGTCTGAACTGGACCTTGTCCCTACGAATTGATCTCAAGAGCCCAGAAAAAATTTCTAAGATAAGTGCACAACATGACTCACTTGTGTAAAAAAAAATAAATAAAAAAGTATTTATAAATCCACAAATAAATGCTATATGTTCTCTAGGAGTAGTATGTGACAGTGTATCTAGAGAGATAATTTTGGCAGTGTACATTTTAAGCTGACAGCTGTAGTTATCTTTGGAATTTGTGTGTGGGAGGCAGGTGGTTGGAGAACAGGGATGAAAAGGGAGAATGGGGAGTGATCACTGGAACTTTAGTCTTTTTTTAAATTTTTCTTTTTATTTCATTATTTTTTGTGTGTACCATCAAATCAGATCTGACTGGCACAGGAGGAGATTGTTCCTCCTTCTCTAGCAGAGCATCTGGTGGATTTGAACTGTGCACCTCTGAGCTTATAGTTGCAGCTTCTTGCCAGTAGGCCACCAGAACGTGCCTGGAACTTTAGTCTTAATGAAATTATTTCATTTTCTAGGAGTCTGCAACTCTATTTGTTGTCTAGATTTAAAATAAAACTTTAAAAAAGGAAACATTAAGAAAATAAAATGAAAAATAAATTATCAAATGCCATCTGGGGTTGCATCAATAGAGGTATCACAGGCAACTCAAAGGAGGTGACAATCCCCTCTCCTCTGCTCACATCACACCTGGGACTTCATTTCCTCTGCCCTGTCCTTTGTGAGGGACAATAACTCTAGGAATGCCAGGGGCAGGGAGGGGGAAGGATCATGGTATCATCTGAATGGGGTACAGGAGAAGCATGCCCTTTACCTAGCTGGAGGAACTGGGTGAGAGGGGACCAGATTCATTCTCTCTGTCTCAGTGTCAGTGTCAGTGTCAGTCTCTGTCTCTGTCTCTGTCTCTCTCTCTCTGTCATGGGGGATGGATGCAGGAGGACAAACCTGTGCCTGGTGCCCTGGGGCAGGGTCTAAGGAGTGAGGGATAGAGGGCCTCTTTGGAGTGGGTCAGAGATACTACGAAGATAGCTAAGTGGGGAACACTATGTGTGACTTTGGGGTATTGGCAGTCCTGGAAGGTAAGAGTGGAAGTTGGGAGTGCTCAGTGCTGGGAGATTGCAAATCTTGGAAGCATGATGGAGGAGGGGCTCCCAGCATCCTGTTGAGCGTGTGGCGACACCGGGGTAGGGGGGATTCTTTGAGGATCCTTACAGGACTCCATGTGTCTCTGATGTCTGCATCCTTTTTTTTTCTTTTTTTATTGTGAAAAACATGTATGAGGATACAAGGGGGTGAGGGTTGGGAGCAGGAGAGTGAGGATGGCAGGGATGAAATCACAGGGCTGCACAATTTGGTGGGTGGGGGAGAAGGTGAAGGAAATGAGAAAAATCCAGTGGAGACCAGAAGACACAGGGCAATGGTAAACATATTCCAGTGGTGACTAATTTTTGTTTTTAAACAAGGAAATTGTCTTATTCACTTGTGGGTTTCTCATTTGGGAATGGGGCACAGACTCTCTGGTTTCTTCATGCTGAACAGAGGTGTTGATGTGGAGGGGGAAGGGGAGCCCACTTTAACACCTTACTGGTGGTCCTGGGTTGAAGCCGCATGCCTTCTTGTTCAGTTAGAAGATGTTTTCCTGATGTTTAGTGCCCTCTGGACTGCAAAGTGTTCACCAAGGTGGGTCCAGTGGGGCTAGCTGGCTGAACCCTGAGGCTCCATCCTCCTTCGCTTCCTTAGCTGGCAGTTATATTTTCCTCTTGTCTCTGGAACTGGATTCAGGGCACAGGCCTGGAGTAAAACTCAGTGTTAAGGTTACCCTATAGGAAAGGGAGCAAATCTAGAGAGAACAAACTTGTGAGTTACAAAGAGAAGGGCTTTGGAGGTGTTACTTACAGGTGTACTGGGGGAAAAGGTTAAGGAAAGTGGCTTAGATAAAATTCTTTGTATACCCTAGGCAGTTTTCCCCAGCGACCTGGAAGCTTTCTCCAGGGGCCAAACGGCTCTCCCCAGGGGCAGATGGCATACCTCAAGGGCCAAACATTTGTCACCTCTGTATAGTCAAATGGCAGAGTAGTGATATATTACTTAGAAGAGTGTTTGACTAAAAACAATCATAATCAGACCAGAGGGCCACAGATTAAAATCCCTGACCTTTGGTTTGGTAGCATAGCTTTCTATTCACAAGGCCCACAGAGATCTCTCTATGGCTCACAACAATTCTATGAACCACAAATCTAGTCCTTGCCCTATCCTACACCATCCCCACAAACCAAGACATGCTTGAGCCCAGTGCTACAGACAACTTATCAGTCCACTGTGTTGATGATCTTCTTCTCTGACCTGTCCAAGGAAATCTTCTTCACTGTCAGCGAGATGCTTTCCTGAATCAAGTCCTTCACCTCCGGTGGCTCCATGCCGCCCCTGCAGGTGCCACCCTCCCTTCCTGCCCTGGGGACCCACAGCTCCTGGCATCTGCAGCCATCAACTGTGTGGGGGCTTCCTCACACTGGCTGTGGTGCCTGCCACCTGGTCTAGACTAGGTGACATGTGGGCTCCTGCCACGGTGGCCCAGTGGGATTGCGGCCTTGTGGGCTTGGGGGCAGGTAGCAGGCAGAAGTGAGACTCATCCACGTTCTTCCGAGAATCTTTGTCCTCTTGATATTGAGCTTCAGCCCATACTGATGCTTGTTGACTGTTTATGAGTTGCACGGCCTGTTTCAGCGCAGCTTGGCCGGCCTCCTGCTCCTCACATTGCGTCTCTTGCCACTTCTGAGAACTTATTTTATAATAAGTTTATTCTGCAGCAGTGTAGAGGCTCTGTTGTACCACCTTTGGGCCCTGGCGCCCCCTGTCCATCCCAGATGAGGAGCTTCCTGGGGTCCGGCCACGGAGGTCCCATGAAGCTGTGGCGATGGTATGGGCTCTGCAGTGGGCGGCTGGGAGCCACTCATTCTTTTTTGGGAATCTTTGTTCTCTTGATGTTGAGCTTTGATCCATATTGAAGACCAGTAATCAACTGTTTAATTGCTCAATTATTAGTAAACTGAGGACTGGGGCGGAGGGGGGGGGCATGATGGCCTGTTTCTATGAAGCTTGCTGTTCCTGCAGCTCCTTACATTGTTTCCTCTGTCGCTGCCATCTTGGTTCTTCTGATGTCTGCATCTTTGAAAAAATAATAGTTGGTAGGTCAGAGGGCAGCAGTGATGGTGTTGGCATGGAAACCAGGTCCCTTACCGTAAGTGGGCCTCAGCACCCTTACCTGGAAATGAGGAGGGCTAATGAGGTCTGATTTGATGCAGACCAGCACCTTCCAGGGTCTTTTGTCTGTCCCTTAAGGTTCCCAAACGATCCCTGGTTGTGCCGTGGTTGTGTTTGGTTACATGCTCGTTAGCCTTTTGATCAAGAGTTTGAACTCATTATTCCCTGGTGGAGGCAGCCCTGGTGGCCTGATGGTAAAGAAACTGCGCTGCAATTCCAAAGTCACACGGTTTGAATTCACCAGCTGCTCTGTGGGAGGGTAGGCAATCTCCTCCTGTGTGATTTACTGCTATGCGTCGGTTCTGACTGGACAGCACACATCATCCACTTGTGGAGGAAAGGTGAGGTTTCTGTGAATATTTCAACCTTGGAACTCTGTCGGGCTCTACCCTGCTTTCTAGGGTCGAGATATACTACTCCTAGGTAAGGAGATGTGTTGCCAACGCAAAGACACGCAGTTCGAACCCACCAGCTGCTCCTCTGTAAAAAGATACGCAATCTCCTCTGCGATTTACAACAGCCTCTGAGTCCAAATGAACGGCACTTAACAAGGTCTCCAACCTGGGGACTTGCAGTCCTAAAATTGGCCACCAGAGGACGCCTTTGGGCAGCCTTGAAAAAGGGAAGGGAAAAAATACGTCTGCGGGGCGAGATTCTCTTCCGTCCTGCTTTGCTTGTTCCTTCTCTTGCCATATCTAGTTCCTGAGATCCACTCTCTCTCGGGCACTAGGGCTACCGCAGGCAGCGTGACTCCCCAGCGTGGAGCTGTCTGTCTCCCCTCTCATTCCAGCCTTTCTCACACACCCGCATCTGACTCGCCTCAGGCCCTGCAGACAGTGTCCTCTTCCTTCACGTAGATCATCTGACCATCACTCCACAGCGGCCTTCATGCCCTGCTTGGTCTTCTGCGCCCTTCTACTTTCAGCCTCACTTCATCCACCTTCAGTCAAAGGCCTGCCGACCAACACCTGCTCTGCCCTATCACCCCTCTTCTCAGCACTCCCCCATGTGACCCTGCCCTCTGCCTGGCCCTGACTCCCTGCTCTCCACTGCGCCCTGCTCCCCCACTCCAGCCCCACTCACCCCCTTACTGTCAGGCCCCTTGATCAGCTCCTTTGTCTCAGGACCTTTTCACTCCCTGTTCATTCCACCCACCCAGTGCACTATTTTCCCTCATTAAAACAACTTCATCCCTGTCACCGGGTCTCCCGGTGCTGTCCTACTTTGCCTCGCTTCCCCCCATTGGTCTTGTTTGTCCTCTTATTTTTGTAGAGTGTGTCTGTCTCTCCAAAGCGTCACCTGGATGAGAGTGGGACTGTGTCGTCTTCTTCATTCACGGCTGAGGTTTTCCTTACTGAAGGAACTTAAGGAATATGTGAGGGAGTTCTCGCGGCCTAGAGGCAAGAAGCTGAGCTGCAATCTGAGAAGTTCATGGTTTGAATCCACCAGATGCTCTGCGGAAAGAGGGGCAATCTCCTCCTGTACCAGTCAGCTCTGATTTGATGGTACATATACACACACGAAAGAATAAAACTTTTTTTAAAAAGAAATATGTGTCCACTCGAGAAGGGACAGGTAGCTGACTGGATTTGGAAGGAAGGTGGAAGGAGGAGTTGAGAGGGGCGCGGGGCGCCTTCTCCTGGCTTGGGGACTCCAGGGGTGGCACTGATGGAGGGTCAGGCTAGCTAACCAGGGGACATTCTCTCTGGGTGAGCCTGCATTGTGCGTCCTCATTTCCAGACCTTGCAGGCCCCCACCCCAGAATTTTAGGGCCCTGTCCCTTACCCAGGGAATCCTGGTGGTGCAGTGGTTAAGTGATCAGCTGATAACTAAAAGATCTGCAGTGTGAACCCATCACCCACCCCATAGGAGGAATATGTAATCGTTGGCTTCCTTATCGATTATCATTTTACTTCTAGGACTGTGACGCTTAATAACACTTTAAGCCTGAAACTGATCTCACCTGTGCCTCAAACAGTAGACACACTTAGAAGATAAATGGTACCATGAGGGAGGTACTCACTCTTGGAACAATCATAGGAAAAAGTGCAGAAGATGGGAAGGGATGGGATGGTAGGCTGAGTGGAAGCCAGCATCACAGGGAGGAAGTTTGAAGAATGATGTTAGAATGTGGGGACTGCAATTAGTGCAGTGAAACAAAATCAGTATAAAGAGTTGACTGGAGAACCCAGTGGTTCTGTAAACTTTCACTTGAAGCACAAGGAAAAGTTAAGAACAACAATAAAAACCCACCCGGCATTGACAAAGGCAGACACATAGGCCACTGCAATGGAATTCAGAACCCAGAAGGAAACCCACCCAGTGAGGGACAGCTGAAAGTTGACGAAAGACCAAAACCTGTTAAATGAAAAAAGCCACTCTCTGTAACAAATGGTGCTTGTAAAACTTGATATCCATTTGCAGAAAAAAGAAACAAGATCCACACCCTCATACCCTATAAAAAAAGCAAACTTGAGATGATGGATTAAAGACTAGAATCTGAGACTAAGACCACTGAAGAAAAGAAATCGGGAGGAATTGAGGGTTGTTGTGGAGAAAGTAAGACCCAGGCTCGCCTTGGAGGCAAGGATGGTGAAACTCTGCCTCATGTACTTTGGACATGTTTCTGGGAGTGGCCAGTCCTTGGAGAAGGACAACATGAGAGATGTGCTTGGTCAGCATCAGAGAAGTAGGCCCTCAACAAGATGGGTTGACGCGGTGACTGTAACAATGGGCGTGAGTGTGTCAGAGATGATGAGGATGGCACAGGATAGGACAGGCTTCAGATTTGTTCATAGCTCATCATGGATTACAGATGACATCCAACAACAATTGATCAGAGAAATAGACTATGATGATTTTATTTTTTATAAAAAAGAAAGAGGTGGTATTCCTTGGTCTGTCTCTCTGCCTGTCTCTGTGCAGACCAAGGAATCCCACCGATGAACCCCCTTAATAAAGCTTCTTTAGCTTCCTTTTAAAAAGAAAACCAAAACAACAAAACCAAACTAAGAAGAAGAAGAAGAAGAAGAAGAAGAAGAAGAAGAAGAAGAAGAAGAAGAAGAAGAAGAAGAAGAAGAAGAAGAAGAAGAAGACAGAGAGAGCAGCTTTGGATGTCATATAGGGTAGTTCTCCCACATCCTCGAAGGTGTCTGTGAGTTGGAATCAATCTCATAGCAATGAGGTTTTGTGACCCTGACTTCCTGAGAGACAGAGACTGATTCTGACTCCATCTGTGTGCCTTGGGCTTTATTTCTTTGCTCTTCACTTGTGAACCCTGCGTCCTGGCCCTGGGTTGGTTGTGGACCTTAGTCTCCCTGCATATCTAATGAGGTGGACAGAGAGAGGGCGCATGCGTGTCTAGGTCCACAGTTGTTACCATCAGGCATTAACTCTCCAGCTCATAACGACTCTGCAGTACAACAGAGCAAGATGCTACCTGACGCCACACTGTCCTCACAGCCTCTGCTGGGCTCACTGTGAGCAGAGCTTGGCCTGTAGGAGACTCACAGAATTTGGTGTTAAAGACTCAACAGTGGAGGCAGTTTGTGGAAAGATTCTTTCTGTCCTCCCAGATCTGAAATTATGTGCTTTGGATATAGGAGGGGTTGGGAGGAAGACTGAACAGCACCAAAGAAGATAAAAAGACAGGGAAAGGGAATCATTGTCTCCTCTCTGGGGTCAGTATTATTTAAGGAGGCTGATCTGCAGGGTCGGGGATAGTGGCCCCTCTCCTAGGTGAAGAGACCTGCCATGGTTCTGGGAAAGGCCTTCTGTCCCAGAGACCATAGTGATGCAGTGGCAGAGGCACTGGGTGGACGGTCTGGTGTCTGCTGCTGCCCTTTTAGGGACTCTTTGTTTCTGTCTGTTGATGGGGAACATGGTGGTACCTGGGGAGAGGAATCACCAATGAGGTGAGGGAGAAAAATGTACTTTCATGATGGGAGAAGGGCTGCATGTCTGGGTTTATTGCTCTCACTCCACCTTCATGTGCCCTCCTGTCCTTGGGTAAAGTCCCAGCTGTCTTCTAGAGCTCACACGTCCAGGTGACCGGGTGACCTGCCTGGCTGGCCGTCTCCCCTCCTCCAGCTCCAAACTCTCTTCTGTTCCCCTCTTTCCCATGCTCATCCTTGGAGAGTCACCTCCTCCCCGAAGC